CTAGTTGTTTAAGGCAGGGGTACATATCTAGTCCCTGTTACTGCTTCATGGCATATGCTTTCTTTAAATTTTTAAACAGCTTTATTGAAGCATAACTGATGATAAAATTCATACACTTAAAGTGTAAAATGGACCAGTCACACCTGAAACCATCACCACATTCAAGATAATGAACATATTCATTACCCCCAAAAGTTTCTTCATGCCCCTTTCAGTCCCTCCTTCTGGCTTCCTGGACCCTTCCTCCCAGGAAGCCACTGTCCTGCATTTAGTCACAACAGATTAGTCTGCAGGTTCTAAAGTTTTATATAAATTCCTTTTTGTTAGGCTTCTTTCACTCAGCATAATTATTTCGATTCATGCATCTTATTGTTTGTATCACTAGGTTCCCCTTTCAATTGCTCAGTAGTACTCCATTGTATGGATATACCACTATTGGTTTGGTTATTTTGTTTATACCATATTTATTCATTACTGATGGATATTTGGATTGCTTCCATTTTAGCTATTACAAAGTGTTATGAACATTTATGTAAAAGTCTTTGTATGAACACGTGATTTTTTTTTCTTGGGTATATACTGAGGGCGTGAACATATGGTAGGTATATGTGTAACTTTTAAAGAAACTGTTTTCTAATGGCATTTGCTTTAAAGCCAGTTTTTGTTTGTTTTGTTTGCTTGTTTGGGGATCCATGTGGTGGTGTGGTAAATATGAAAAGTTTGGATGTAGATGTTCACCTTCTCTTATTCTGAAGCAATGACCAACTGCCAGGTTTATTAATGTCAGCCCTCACCAGTCTGGAAGGTAGACTCTCACCAGAAGATGGAAAAATACAAGACAAGAATATGAGGGGTTCCCAGCCTGGCAGAGAGCAGTGGGAAAGGTCGCAGAACGCTTGGACTTTTTTTTTTTTTTTCTGCTTGGAGGCATTTAGATGGAAATTAAAGTAGAGTTTGCTCTTTTCGGATAGTTCATCCTTTTCTTGTGATTTTTGAAAATATAAAATGTTGGAGAACCTAGTTCAGAGCTGTTTTTTGAAGTTTTGGGCTCTCTCCTTGATGTTTGGACTTTGAAGCTTCCGTCTGTGAATAAATTCAGCCTTTGTTTCACCTTTCCCTGCGAAATGACGCCAGTGAGTTAGAAGGAGATATCCAGTAGGGATAAGTGGCCTTTCTTTGATCCACACACAAATCGAGCTTCTCTGAGCCAAGAGAGGAATGGGTTTCACAAACGCCCGTCTGGCTCTGAACCTTGCGCCGTGTTTAACAGAACAGGCAGCGGTGGTGCCTTCTATTTCCACCACCTCCTCCCCGCTTCCCAAATGCCCCAGCACGGATGGATTCTCTTAAAGGAGTTTCCTTAGGACAGGCAGTATTTTTATACTTCCATTAATATCTCACACAATTTGAGATGTCTGGCAATATTATTGAAGCCCAGGGACCCTGGAAAGCTGCGTAATGCCTGGCGAGGTGGGGAGAGGACCAAGTCACCCTTCTCTTCAGCCCCCTCTGTCCTCCTAACAATGCAGATCAAATGTCCAGGGCCCTGGTGCACTGCCGGCACTAACCAACCACCTCGGAGCTGGGGCCAGCTTCTCTGGAAGGCCACCCCTCCCTCAAAAACAACCTGCCTGTGACTCTGTGGCCACCTGAGTTCACAGTGCAGCTTGAGGAAATCTGTTATGGAAGATTCATGTTCATATTTCTGAAAGACCTAGGACAGGAATGCTAAATGACCTCCTCCTGGCCTTTTCTTAACTGGCCCTGGTAAATCTGTAGCTGTGTGATTTGGGCTGCAGCCAGGAACAGGGGCCCTACGGATTATTCTGTTCCCCATTGTTGAGTTGAGGCTTTATTCTGAATCATGATGCTGCTTCCAATTTTGCTATTGTGATGCCACCTCCCACCTTCTCTATCTCAAACGTAAGCTGGGTAACTTGTTTGCACTGAGCCTTCTGGGCCCTGCAACCACTTCACAGATACTGGTGATGGTTCCACCTGTGCCTCAAGACAGGGCCCGCTCCTGCCAGCCTGGGACCGCGCCTCCTCACCTGGGCACCCAGCCAACTCCCAATGGCCGTCGCTAAGCTCGTTGATACAAGTGAAGAGTTAGACATCGGGCACAGCTGACAGTGATGTCACAATTGATGGCAGTTAGGAGAAAGGGAGGCCAACTCCCACCAAGTGCCCTGGTTCTCTGGCAGGTGACAGGTAGAGGACTGAAGACATCTCTTTCTTGGCTTCCTCCTCCTTAGGGATACTGGTCATGCTGGGGAAATAAACATGCAATTGATTTTTTTTGCCTCCAAACCCTTGGTACTGTGGCTAAAGGGCTGCGGTTGTCATGGCAGCGAGCAACACTTTTATTATCAGCTGTGGCCTTTTCCCCTCCCCTGGGAAATGCTTGACATGATTCTGGTTCTCCACACTAGTTCTGTTCCTTGTCTTTTCGGGGTGGATGCATCCTCCTTGCCTCTGATTGGGGAGAATTTCTATTCAGTTTGGAGGGACTGGCTGATGTGTAGGAAAGTGGGGGCAGGGTGAGACAAGACTCTCAGAGGAGGTACAAAATTGTGTGTATAAATGGGGGGAGATCAGAGCATGGGGACAGAGGAGGGAGGGAAAGGGAACAAGAAGGGAGATGGGGACAGGGAGAAGCAGAGAGGGAGGAGGGACACAGGGAGGTGAGGACACTTGCCCTCAGGAAGCTCCCTGCTCACACAGGCAGACCCGCACCTATGACTGTCAGAGCCCCTCCAGTCTCCTGGCTCAGGCTTGTTCAATCTGCTCCACCCTCTACCAGCTTGTCAGCTTCTGGTGGGCAAGCACAGCTTTCTCCCCAGTCCCAACCCCACAGGTTCCACCATGTGCCTCATAATATTAGGCAATTCAATGCTGAATGGATAAACGCACAGATGGACATTCAAATGCTTTTTAAAACTGAAATAACTGAATAAGGCTTTGGGGGAACTGACGGATAGGAATCAAAATCCCTAGAAACAGATGGTCAGACTCACCTGCCAGTTCGTGGGTTTGTTCTGAGAAATGCAGCTTCTAAGAAGAGTGGGGAGAGATAGACATTATATGATCTGGTCAGAGGGCTCTCCTCTTTAAGGAAAACTGCCCCAATTCTGGGCACCTGCTCAAGGCTGCCTTCAGACTTGCTGATTATGCTGGAAGCAAATCACGTGTCACTGTCCAAGGGGGTGGGTTGGCTTCCCTGGGGTCTTCAGCTCCAAGCACCCCCTACCCTGAGATGCTTCAGTCCTGCCCTACAGGAAGTAGAATGAGACTTGGAGAAAGTGGCTTCTTATCACAGTGGTTGTAGGGTGGTGGAAGATAATGACAGGGACTGTGTCTGCAGGCATACAGTTGTGGCCCCATTACAGTCCCAGGGCACCTCAGAGTAGAGATCCCAACTGTTCTGGGCACAGGCCTTTCTTGCAAGCTCCTTGGAGAGGGGTGAAGACAAGTAGAGGGTGAAATGAGAAGGAAGAAGGGAGGATGTCTCTGGGCTTGCCTCCCCGGAATGCCGACAAAAGGCTGGGTCTTGTGCTCCTTCTGATACAGTCAGAGCTATGTATGGCCTCATGCCCCAGCCCAGCTCTAGGAAGAGGAAACGGTTTACAGTGGAAAATCCCAGCTATGTCCAGGGCTTGCAGTTGCCAATCTACGAGAAAAAACAGGGTCAGAAGGGAGACTGACTCATGCTGACCAAACTCACAGGGGACTGATGGATAGACCGAAATGCTACTCATTTGTGCAGCATTCTTCAAGTTCTTTGATATCTGAAAATCTGCCCCAG